ATTTAAATAACCTCACTGGTTCAGATTTTTGTGTTAACATGAGTGAAGAATCGAATGTTTCCTAATATTGGTTAATGCCTCACGAGTACGTAGTAGCTATAGGAAATAGCCGTCACATAACTAAGAAAAGATAAATTAAAATAAGATATTTCAGAAAAATGAGAATAATCAAATACTTAGAATATAGGACGAAAGAGTTATGAAGAAAAGAATAAGCCAAAATAAAGGATATGATGAAGCATTAAGCAAACCTAAAAATGAACGCCGTTCGCGTTCGGGTGAAGATGGAGCAGAGCTAAAAGCGAAGACACTACTGGCTGGATTAGGCGCGGTAAGCAGTTGGTGGGTGTGTGCAGAAGTCGTAAATGGGCTGCTCATGCCAAAAACAGAGATCTTCTTTGTCCGTTGGCTTGAACTTAGGGAGCCGGAAGAGGCAAACAAGGAGGTAGCAACAGCTAAGGATAGAAGCAAGGTAAGCAAATCAGACAAATAAAGAGAGAAATAGTATTCTTTTTAATAAGGAATATTATAAACTTAATTGCAATATGAAAAAACAGTAGACGAATTTTAAATAAAATATAAGTATGAAAAATTCTATTGAATCGCAGCTTAGTTTAAGGCCTCCCCGCTTTATAAGAGTATTATAAGATGTCACTGGCCAATGCGTGGCATACGTTCATACTTATCAAGTAAATAAGTAAAAAGATAGATATTGGGTAAATTTCAATACTCTAAAAAACCAAATAATGCTAAAGATGAATATTTTCAAAACCAGCACCGAATCGCTTTTCACAAAAGTACAAAATGTAAGGTGACATGCAAATAAATCACTTCATTTTGCAATGTATTTACAGTTTATAGGGGTGATAACCAAAATGGAATAAAAGTTATTCTTGCGAAAGGCGACAAAGCAATTAGCAATAGAATTAGATATGAGATCATTTCCATCAATTAATGATTCAGATCTTCTAGAATGGAAACCGATCTAGGCGACATGAACTTATTGTTCGCATTTAAGTATTGTTTCGAGATGAAGCAAATGTATTTTTGCTATAACAATCGAATACGTTATTTTATTTTTCGCATTTAAGTATTGTTTTAAGGACCAGTAAATCAGTAATATGAGATGTATTCACCCAATTTCGTTTAAGGTGATGAAGGACTGGTAGAAGAAATTTTCTACAATGATATGGAGTAGAGCTGACGTTTCCATTGAATTTTACATAGCCTTGCTTTCCCAAAAGGTATTCTCATCCAGGGTGAACTACAGTTGAGACCTCGCATCGGTCTTATCAACACCCGTGTCAAGCTCCCATTCTGCATTGTCACGGTTCGACTCCCGCTGGGGA